GTATAAAAACCAAAACCCTGAAAAAAATTTAATCCAGCCCCCCCCCCCCCCCCCAATTACAAATGCATTTTCAAATCAGAGTTTGCAATGTTGTGATTCATGTGGAGCGGGCTGGTTCAGTTCATGACTCTTTATTGAAGAATATGGAGAAAATGAACAATGCTCTTGAAGGCAGCAATAAAGGCGGCATATGAGGAAAACGGACGGGTTTGAAACATTGAACAGAGAAAACAGAGAAAAGCAACGTGACATGAGAGCAGAAGTGGTCGAGTACTGCTCTGTGAGGGATGTAGTTCAGAATCTCTCACGAATCCGGATTTCCACAGGAAACATCTTCATGTCCTTCATTTGGACGAGAGTCACAGGAGAGGCGTCACGCCATGGTCTCTTTCCCCGGGAGCCTCCTGTCGTTAAAGGTATGCATGTTAATCACCTCCTCTGTTTTGACGATGGCGGGCGGCTGAGGTTTCTGTTTCCGCTGTCGCTGGCATTTCAGAGACACCCTGAGCTCCTCCAGCATCACGCTGCAGAACGAGCGCTGTGCACAGAAGAGCAAATCACAGACACGAGTTGATTTCGTTTCAGTCCTAGTCTTTTCTAATTTATACAAATACATACGTCTGCTTGAAAACCAGGCCCTGTCAGTGGCATAAATGTCCAGATGTCCAAATTGTAATGAAGCTCAAAAGAACTTATTCTTCTTTAAAAATGTTAGGTTTAAAACCAAATAGTCATTTTAGTTTTTTGAATGCTGTTCTATATGATGAACTATATTCATTGTTTTATTTTCAATTAACGAAACATTTTAGACTGTTTATTGAATAAACCCAATGACCAGTGTTATTTTAGTATAATTGAAATATTATATTATTATATTTTATTGTGTTTTTGTCATTTTTTGTAGTTTTTAAATATGTCTATCTAGTTTCTATAAATTTTTTTAATGTTTTTGTTTTTATTAGTTTTTTTTCCCTTCATTTTCCACTTTCATTTAAATCTTAGTTAAAGCTTATAGTCATTTTATTATATGTTTGTAATTTTTTGTAATTTTTAAAATACGTCTATATATTTTATACATATTTTAATTTAGTTTTGATTTTGAATTAGTTTTTATTTTTTATATTTTTTACCTTTTCATTTTCATTTCATTTGAAGTTTTAGTAATTTCATTGTGATTTTGTCATTTTTTTGTAGTTTCTAAATATGTCTTTATAGTTTTTATTAATATCTATTTCATGTTTTTTTGTTTTTATTAATATTGTTTAATATTTTTTTATATTTTAATCTTAGTTAAAGCTTTAGTCATGTTATTATGTGTTTGTCTTTTTAGTTTTTATTAATATTTTGAATTTTGAGTTTATTTTAATATTTTCCCTTTTTATTTATTTATTTTTTTGTTGACATTTTAGTCATTTTATTGTTTTCATTAATTTTATTTTTTTTAAATATGTACATATAGTTTTTATTCTTTTTTTTTTGTTTAATTCAATTGTAAAGCATTTCTATAAAAACTCATTATATACTCCAAGAGAAAACATTACCCTGTTAATATGGATGATATTTAG